CATGCAGCAGAACTGTTGAAAGACATGACGACAAGGATATTTCGGATTGACAATGATCGCAAAAAGTGGTTACCAAACCACTCTCATAGTAACCACAACATACAGCATTTTACAAATTCGAATCGATCGCGTACTGATTATAGAAAGTCGACAGGCACGCGGCTCAATACATAGATCAGTCCACGAAGTCTGGATCGTACTCGTCGATAAATCGTCGATATTCGCGGATTTTCTCGTACGTCCGCACCACTTCGGTCATCTTTTCCTGGAATGAATCATTATAGGTAGTAGTAGAAGGCATGCGTTCTGCGATCGCCCAAATGCCAAAAAATCGCCCAATACAGCGTGCAAAAGTAAAGACAAATTGGCTTTCAACTATTACAACCCCAAAATCTCAAAATTTTATTTTTCGTCGAAACTTCGCCTATAGGGGTTATTCGATGCCCTGATTACGAAAATGACATTCATTTTTGCGTTGGCGCCATTGGCGCCAAATTTGGCGCCAGGCTGTTTTCACCAAATTCGCTGTAAACTTGTATATAGGGGTTATTTGGGGTCCTGATTACGAATATAACATTCATTTTGCCGCTAGCGCCTATTTGGCGCCTATTTTCCGCTCGTCTGCGCCCTCTCACTGATTAGCTCGCGATCAGGACTAAGCCTTTGGGAGAGGAGTGCTCCGAAGTGAGTAACACTTATCCTGTGATCTTATACGCTTCAACATTTGCCACACGTTGCCTGGTTCACCCACCCCGGAGTCCTCCCTCCTCCTAAGCTTAGTCCTAGGTAATATGTACAAGTGAGAGGAGCCCAGGAAAACGGAAAATATGCGTTGAATAGTGCAAATGCCAAAAACGAATGTCATATTCGTAATCAGGACCCCAAATAACCCCTGTATACAAGTTTACAGCGAATTTGGTGAAAACAGCCCTGGCGCCAAATGGCGCCAATGGCGCCAAATGGCGCCAGCGCCAAAAATGAATGTCATTTTCGTAATCAGGGCATCGAATTACCCCTATAGGCGAAGTTTCGACGAAAAATAAAATTTTGAGATTTTGGGGTTGTAATAGTTGAATAGTGCCGACAAATTTGCTAAGTGATAAGTAAGTAGATAGAGAAGCGAAAGAGTGTGAGCACACTTTGAAGGAGTTTCGAATTTGTGAGTTTCTAAGGTGAGCCGTCTCTCCGCAGTAGAACCGTGGACATGAAAGTGCTACCGAACTACACTCTTCGCTTACAAGGAATGGTCAATTGGTCGGTCCGGCCATTTCAAATGAGGTGTAGTCCGATGCACGCGTCTTGCGACGCTGAGCTCAAATCCGTTTTCGGTTTTTGCCGAACGATTCTCTGAACGAAGTTATGAGGGATTCTTCTCACTGTGGCTATCTCACTGTGGCGCCCTCTACATCCCCCTATCCCACTTGGCTCGCGTAAAAACAGAACGAACGAACAGAACGCATAACAGAATAACCAATTATAAACGCTTCTCTGGGCTCTCGTATGAGCAGCCTTGAAAAAATAAAGTTGGCCGTGGAAAAGGATTGAAATATGGGCTCTCAGGCCTCACTACAAGATGGCCGGCAACAGACGCGTTTAGGACCATTCCTTATTAGCACGAGCTTTCAAACGCGAAAAAGAGCCATGAAGCGTGGCAGTTGCACGGTGACTCAGGAAGAACTACCGAAAACCAATTTTCGACAATGAAGAGTAAGCTTCCATATCATTTGGATTGAGTGTGCTGAGCGTAAGAAAAGCATTCTGGATATTTGGACGGAGTCATTCGTAGGACTCATATGTCTCGAAGCTAACAATGTGCATTCTGTATTTTTGTTGATTAATTTCGTGTCATTTTGAAACGAAATCTGCAACGAACCGCATGGCCTCGACGATGTTTCTCTCTCCATATCGTTGGCTTTGGACCTTCAGTGAGCACCTCACGCCTCATTTCCCTCTTCTCGTAAACGGTACCTGGTCTGCTGTCTTCCCACGGCATTAGCGATGTATCTTCAATAAGAGATTTGACAACAGTAATCTTGAAGGTAAGTGAATGCGAAATGAACACTAAAAATGCAGCAAAATGAAAAGTTGAAAGTTATCAAATAAAGGAATGAGAAAAGAGCATTTACGAGAATCGTAACTTGGAATGTGCTTTTGAGAACTCCATTTGAGAATGTAAAACTGGTTGAGAAGTTGCAAAAAAACCGAAACTTGTAATAGAACTACCCCATATAGAAGGAACAGCAACGGGAATTGCAGCAAACTGGTAACCAGGACTGTGATGACAAAGTAGAATAGTAGTTGAGAAGGACTCACCAATGAGTGCAGACTCTTTAATTTCGTCTTTTGACTCTTCGACTTCGATCTCCTTCTTATCCTGTTTCGTGGAAGCATTCAGTAGTCCTCACAGATGTTCGCTCCTCTTCTGAATAGAGCCACTTATATTATTTCGTTTTTGTTCCACAGTCGAAGGGAAGTGAATTGCTGCTACAGGCAGGAGTCAAACTTTGCGACCGTCGGACGAATCGCGAACGGCTTTCGTGATTCGCGACAGGCTCAAGGTCCGCACCAGACCATGGTTAGGCAGATGTCAGAGTTCGTGACAGCCGCACGGTCTACTTTATCTATTGTGAATTTTTTCGCTGCTTCCTTTTTCATGGAAGCTCACAATATCATAATCATTCCCACTATCAGTGCCTCGGAGATGGCGTTTTTTGCAATTTCTTCCCTTTCGTATAAAATAAGCATTTATTCTTCAAAAATGAAAGAGAGCTTCACGGAAACCCCTTCTGATGAATATTTCGTACTGACGAAATCATTTCCCATGGTGTAGTGCACCTGGGTCGATTCGCAGCAAGCATATGAGAAAGTGTCATATTCATACGCAAACCCAATATCAAGCTCGTCTTTTGAACATACTCTGCGTTAGCAGAAGGTGGTGCTGAGATTAGGTTGCGGCAAGTGTTCGCATGAATTGGATGGTAAAGACCTGTTGCAAGGTAAGAGAACAGCGAGGTGGTCGGATCAGGGGTGTGGTATCCATTTTTGGCACTGCCATCAAAAAATTTTTGACGTAAAAAATTTCTCCTTTTCGAATTCCTTGAGGACTCACTTCATAGTCGGACGCCCCAATCACTGACAGCATTCATTTTTGGAGCTGTTTGATTGGAGCTGAGTACTGTATGCTTAGCTATTACATTCATTACAATTTTGAATTTCAAGCCTGAGAAATGAGAGGTCTAACAATCAGCCTTCACATCATTTTCCTTGGAATTTGGGCCGAATTTCAGGCCCACGTGATAAGGTGCCCGGTCCACGAGAATGACCAAATCAACGCAAGAAAGAGAAATTCCCTCAAAAAAAAAAAAAGGTCCTCCCGCAAGAAAAATGAATTCAGACACACATTTCAAAATTATCAAGCCTTAGTTATTGCATGCCTATTTTTGAGGCCACAGCTGTAAAAATTTCTGGTCTAATTTTGAAGAGATAGGGCATGACCATCGAGCATTGTCGGAAAAACAAAACTTGAAAAGGGAGCGATGCGGCTTTGTGGTGTCTTATAGCGGAATGACTTCATGATTGAGTAGAGGGCAAACCATTGGTCTTCTCTGAGGGCTTAGGGAAAGATAGAGTTTAGGATTGACTTGTCGGTTCAGACTATTTTTCGTCACTAAACCTCCACATTTTGCAGAATTGAAATCAAATTCAATTAATGTAAGGAGCAGAAATACGTATGTGGAACATGGCAAATCTCTTCGAACTGTTATAATTTGATGATCTTGAAGATCTTTAGCAGAAAATTTCCGTTGGAAAAGCGGGCACTACTATGGCAAGCTTAGTAGATAGTACCCTGCTTTTTCATATTTTGCTAAATATGAGGTGATGCAATTATCGAAGAATGCACGCACTTGAGACCTCCCCCATTTTTATTCAGAGCACAGACTGTAATTCAAAAACAGTCCTTTTTTTTCGGTCAGTTCCTCTTGTGTAATTTTGTAGGTTCGAGTGTCTGCCTGCATGGGCGGCAGGTCGAACGGGAAATTCTTTAGCTTTCCTGTTATGTTGATTGTATTTGCAAAGAAGATCGTGCTTTGTTTTGTTGTATTCCTTCTTTTAGATGCTTGTCCACTTATCCCAGGTATCGCTAAAGACACGGGATAAAGATCAGGTGAAGATTTCTAGAACTTGCATGGTACCGATAGGTAGTCTATTGATACTGAAAGTGCGGGAGAGCGCAAGGGTCGTTGAGAGATTAATGAGATGGCTAAAGCGTTCGCTTGGCAATGTAGCGTGAAGTAGACATTATACGGAAATGAATGGGCTAACTGGTGAGCGTGTCGGCTTGTTAGTGGTTTATGTACGATTTACATTTCGGATTCTATTGGGGTCCATCTCATGAATAGATAACGTAACAAAACGGAGGGGTCACAGTTTTGTACATCACTATTCTTTAGTTGGCGCAGAATTAGTGAAATGTACTCTCAATGGCTACAAACCCCACTAGCACTTCTTTCTATGAAGTGCTACACGCTGCAGCGGCAGGGAGGGAAGGGAAGAAGAAACTTGCAGATGATTGAAGAGGAATTCAACGCACATGGCGATAAGCTGTTTGCATAAAATACCTTTTTTTAAATACCCATCCCCTCACAAGATGTCATAGGTGGAAGAGAGCAAGTGGAAAGCGTGAAGCCTACGCAGGGAAGGACTATACCGGCGATTGCCGGGGGACAAACCTGGTAAGGAAAATAAATGAGATATATGAGTGCTCATGAAATAAAATATGAAAGGTGACGGCTGTGGAGGAAACCGGAGAGGATTTATGTTTGAGAGCAAATATACTGGCTTGTATACGGAAAAGGGCGAAAGTATAATGGCTGAATATGCGCGATCTTTTACAGTGTTGTCTCTGGTCACAATGACCGTTTAAATGACCACATTGCACTGTCCCAGTGAAGAGTTGGCCCACTGGTGTTCCCCACAAAAATTCGTAGCTATGTTTGAAATTATTCATAAGGCTAGGTTGTTAATTAAATATTGAGTTTTCTCAGATGTGAAGTACAAAAAATGCTGTTCTCAGGGATGTCTCGATTCAAGTAGTTCGCGGCAATCGTGCGCTCGTGACTTTTCTATTCAGAAGCTCACATGATGTGACATTTGACATCACAGTCATGCTACATTTTATTTTTCTGTGACTTTTTGCGGAAGGCCGAACTATTTTTGCAATTTTCGGAAATTTGTTGCTTGTAGATGGGGACCCTACGCTTGTAATGCAATTGCCTTCGGGTTGAAAAGTAATTGGCGGACATAGTTTATATGTTTTCAACTGTTTGGACGGAGCCGATCGTCTTAATTGTGTCGTATGCGACCCGAGATTCGGTCATTGCCGGAATCTTCTAGATCCCACTTCTATGATGAATGCGTAAGTGGGCCGACCATTTTTAATCGACAGCTTGTATTTGATCAGTACACTGACTGCGTAGACATCAGCTCTCTATTTCTGGAACGGATTTTATCCCATCTTCACAAAGGTATAAACATTTCTCAAGTGAAAGAGTTAAAGTTATGCGTAGGTTCAGGAAATAGTGTACGGAAGGGGTGAAAAGCAGGTGGTGGGCAAAGGTATTTGCCACGGCGCATAAGAACATTGTTGTGCAAGCGGTGCTGCGCTGTGGAGTTTTGAAACTCAATATAGGTCGGTGCTGAATTTAAAGGAATCTTCCACGGACCATGGACCAGTGGGCGGGACCGGAAGTGGTTTTGCGACGAAATGCATGGTAGGTACGGATCCACGTTCATGGGAAGGTTTGAAGTGAATCCTGTTCACGTTCGTGCGTTCGACACGTGGATCCGTACCTACCATGCATTTCGTCACAAAAACTTCCGGTCCCGCCCACTGGTCCATGGTCCGCGAAGATTCCTTTAAGATAAACTACAAGAACCGGCTCGGAACCCGAGAAATGGGACCCGTTTCCTTAAACGTTGATATACACATTGATGCGGCTTCCAACGGTGCTACCCTTTTCAACGCTAGCGCTTTCCTAAAGCTTCACTCGGAATAGCCCGGGTTGTAATGTTCTTTGCTGCGTCGGTTTGCGTGCAGAGAGACCATGCCAGGTCGTTGGGGCATCTTTTGCGAAGTGCGTATCGGTCACGCACTTTAGTTTTTTCAGCTGCTTCTAAGTAGTTTTCCCTTTATTTTGATTTTTAGCGATGAACCATGGTAATCGTGGCGACGTTTAAATTACTGGAAATTTCAAATACTTGCGTAATATTACTTTTGTGCGCATCTAGGCACGGCCCCGCACAGTCTCAGCAGGGTCATATGTTTACGTGTGGACGACATTGGAGCGGGGACGTTAGGACCGATGTTCACGCTTCGGTTGCTTCTCTTTACGCGAGTGTCTGTGTGTCCGTGCCTAGTTCACTTCCGGGATTACTTCGTCCGGTTCGGTTGACCTTTCACGGGAGTTTGCCTAGTCTCAGGCATCAAGAAGGTGGGCCACATTCTTGGCAATAAATTTTGAAAATGTGACAAGAATTAGATTTTGTCAGACAACACTTGAATCTTGTGAATGAGTTTTATGTTCTATCTTTTTTGGCAGTACAGAGTATTTGTTTCATTTCGTTTTCCTCCCTCACAGGTTCAATTGGTTAAAATTGCGAGCTGAACGAGATAAGGTCGTTACTCAGTGGGATTCCCTTTACCAGCCTTTGATGAGCCAATATAGGTGTTCGTCAGTGCATTGTCGTAATGTCGGATAGGTACGCAACCTAATTGTAAGCTCCGAACGTCCGTTGATCTGTTTCGATCGATGTTCTCAAAGCTTGTGGGGTGAAGGGTAGGGCTGGATTTGCCCACTGGAGTTACCTGTCAAGTGAAGTGTGAACGTAAAGCGGTTCCTGTTTTAACAGTTGATTCTTCTCGACAGGTTCGCTAGGCATTTAATTTTTCGCTTCTGTGTGGGTTCTCGATGATGAGCATGCGAACGGTATTACTTTTCTCCTTGGCTTCACCGGTTGTTCGAATGTTCGCCATACTAACGGAATGATTCTGCTCGGCCCACAAGTCCTGACCAGCTTTATTCAATCGTTCTAAGCTGCCGCCAGTCTAAATGAGAGCAATTACAAACAACTTCTTTGAAGGCATCAGGTAAAGTTGTAGTTATCTTCAGCAGCGCTCAAAATTCTTCGGGAACTGTTTTTCCTCCGTGACTTTTTCATTGTTAGATCGAGCCGCACGAAATATCTTTCATGACGGCTGCAACGCAGCAAGGTGGATAATTAGAGCAGGCATAGCGCTTAGATTCTGTCAGCATCAGATGAAGAAGACTTGACTTCAACTTACAAGGAAAGTCCATCAGTTGCAATGGTCACTTAAAATGAGATTTATACTCCTACATGCGTCATGAACGCTGATCTCAAAGCAAGCCCGGGATAAAATTGGTGATAAGAGCGCTTCGTAGTGATGACTGAGCTGCGGGACGGCCTGAAAGTGGAAAGGAAAGCTAGAGAAATCTTTGGGATCGCTGAAATTAAGGCCTTAACCTTCAAAAAGGTCGGATGTGGAACGATGGCGAGGCAGGGCGGTCAAAGAAGACAAAACACGCGAGAGATCACGCCGTTCGAGAGAGCACGCCGATATCGAGGTGGGTGGGAAGCGTTGCAACGGGGGTCGATGGTTGCAGGCCCGTAAGGATTAGCGCCCTAACCGCGCAATTTTTGCGGCGAAGCTGGAGTGATCTAGGTAGGTAGGGACCTTACAATTTCCCTCGCGGTATCCTTCCCACAAGTCGGGCTAATCTCAAGGTTTGCTCTAATCTACCTTTCAAAATTCACTACCTGATTCTCTGAATGGCTGTGGGGACCGCAAAGCGCAGCGGAAATGGTGCAGGCTCTTGAGCAAGTGCTCATGAAATCGTCCCTTTTAGCAGAGTAACCTTTTTGATTTTTTGCGCAATGTTTTCACAAATACTTTACAAACGTCACTTCAGTAATAGTAACTTGTCAAATGAACTTACGATCAAGTCACGACACCATTTGCGCTTGTATATGAGCGGAAATGGGTAAGAAATGTTTAGGAATTCATAGTAAATTCCTTTTAGTTGAGGCTACATACAGGAAAGTAGCGTTTGTGAAAGTATTTTTATTGAAAAATATTGCGCACAAATCAAAGAAAACCCGCAAGATCCACGCACATCGCGGTATATTTAATGACCTGCACCATCACTCAGCTGATCTGAGCAGGGGCATTATGTTATGAATAATGGGAGTCTTGCGACTTGCTTGTGAGAGAGAAAATCAACCGCACATCTAACTGAACAGAAGCAGTTGAGAAGCAAAAGCAGGCTAAAAATGGAAAAGCGAGTAATCGTAGAAGTGGATCGCGCTCATGGATCAGCAGCAAGACTCCACCCACGTCTCTGATGGAGCAAATAATTGGCAATGAAAAGTGAATTCTCTCACCTTGTCCTTTGAAAATCCACTCATTTGTGCGGTTGATGTATTCGGGCTTCTTGATAGACCATCAAGAGGATAAGGAAGTCCAGTGGTGCTGCCATATCCCTGCTTCTTCAAGTATAGGTCCATACTGTCGCCGGATTCTAAGAAGACAGGCTTGCCTTCCGTCACTCTCACCATTGATGTCCATTTCTAAAGAACAACACGGTGAGATGAAGGTCCAGACATGGATCTTAGTCACGGAAAGGTTAAGGACAGATACGGCGGTTAGGGTTTATATCAGGTGGTGCTCAAACACAACTAGTACTGTTCACGGTACGCATTTTCATCACCCTGGCCTACCCTTTCAGTTTGTGTCCAGACACGATAAGCTCCGTAACTGCATTCGATGAATGGTCCACGTTCCACAGCAACGTACTCTCCATTGTGCTCTAGCTCAGTGAACTGCAACCGATTCTATCAAGGCGAAAGCTCACATGGCGGATCATCCATTCAGGGAACTTAGGCAAACAACTCCACCTACATGATCCACTCTGACCCCTTGGGTCGAGTATAATCTGTTGATCGCTGTCGTTGTGCCAAGTTTTCGTGTCAGAGCGTCCAGAAAGACGATCTGTAAGCGATACATTGGATCAAAAGGTCCACTTTATGGAAAACTAGCAGAAGAGTACAGGAATATATCAAATATCGATAGCAGAACTTACCCAGTGCTTGTATTCACGCCTGGTTATGGTTATCAGCTTGCCCGGATCGCGTTCGTCGCCGTTCTTGTACACGCGGATCTGAATGGGAGTACTTGGACAACCGCTCCTCCCATTCGATGCACAAATCGCTCAAGCACAACTAATAGTTACTTGACCAAGGGTAAAATACTTCCGCCAAACGTGAGCGTCAAAATTTTCGCTCGCAAGTTAAAAAAGCCAATTTCAGCCGAACGGAATGCAGCCAACCCCAAATATAAGAAGAAATATGGGATTTCCTAGGTCGAATGTCGCCAGCAGAGTGTACCATTTCGGTAATTCCGTCAGAGATTATGCACGCAGGTGTTTGTTTGTTAACATCACTTTACCAAACGACTCCTCATACAATTGCCGTTTTCGTAGTAAAAACGTTGGTAGAAGAAGTTATTCAAGGGCCTGGACGTGCTCGGTTGCAGCTTCCGTTATGCGCACCGTTCCAAGCGTTCTTGAAACAACAGGAAATGCACTGGGCCGAGTGCGCTCAGGCCTTCTTCCGGGGTGTTTTTTCGAGACAGGAAAATGTTACGCCATTCCATACCGCATGCGTCGATTATGAAACGTGATTTACCCTCGATGGGAACTTGGGAAATTGTGAGGTTCCAAAACCGACGAAAATCCTCTTTCTTTTGGAATTTCTTTCGTTTTAATTTTTTTCAACCCGCAAGATTTCTTCTGCGTTGTCTGGCGAATATTGATGGGAGTACTCAGCGATTAGTAAAACACGTCTTTTAGCACCAGAAATTCATGGTAAATCGCCTTCCTACTAATTTAGTCCTAACTTATTAGGATATTATTACAGGACTATACAGAAATAATATAACGCAACAAATAATAACTACCATTAAAACACAACTAACTGATATTAAATTTGCAACACAATAGCCACATATCACCACGTGGTTTGTCGTTGAGCGACGAAGCTGGGGGGGGAAGGGAGGGGAGGTTCACGATTGCAAGCGGAAGGGAAGGGCAGTGCTAGTAACATTGTGTAATCGGTGGAAGGGTGCGGTTCAGATGTGCAGGCTAATACATGCCGTCTCTCAGCAGGTGCCCTTGAGTTCTTGACAAAATAGCCAAATTACGACTTCGTCTCTTTGATAAAAGCGCTAATATTTGGTGTGTCCCGTAGTAGATGTAGTATGTCTGTGTGGCCGTCAGCTTAATGAAATGGGTAATAAGGCAGCTAATGCAACAAACATGGGCTAACAGAATCGTGTACAGTCGATATCCGAAAGTTGGGGTAGGCGTGTCACCGGAAGTGACGTGCACTTGATAGAAGTTGCGTGGATAAGCTGTTGCCAGCATGCTTTGCTGATATCCAGCGATGTATGTTGGAAGCAGCTTATCCACGCACTTCTATCAAGTGCACGTCACTTCCGGTGACACGCCTACCCCAACTTTCGGATATCGAGTATAACTCGCAGGACTTGAGCTATAAATGTTTGTAATCTGATAACACTCCTATGGCTATATAAACACCTGCTTGAGCACACTTCCGTTCATTCCACATGGTGCTGCAGTGGCAGCTGGAGGGCAGGAGGAAGGAAGGAATGGGGGGAGAGGCGGAAAATCTACCGTCACACATGATTATGGCGATTCCCTCTACTATATGAACTCCTTTTTGCTGCATGCGCGTCACCTCCACGAGGTGTTGGTGTCACAGGTGGGAAGGAACCACAGCGGAAGACGTAAAGTTTACGCAGGAAGGGAAGGTCCCAACGGTTAAAGGAATCTTCCACGGACCATGGACCAGTGGGCGGGACCGGAAGTTTTTGTGACGAAATGCATGGTAGGTACGGATCCACGTGTCGAACGCACGAACGTGAACAGGATTCACTTCAAACCTTCCCATGAACGTGGATCCGTACCTACCATGCATTTCGTCGCAAAACCACTTCCGGTCCCGCCCACTGGTTCCTTTCCGTGGAAGATTCCTTTAAGGCAAAATAGGGAAGCGGTGCGTTCCATACCATCACAGGATTGAATTCTTATTTACATCAACAGTGTCGGAGGCTAGAAGGAGATGCACGCGCATTTTTTTAACACGTTGACGACCGTGTGGTATGATGTCATACCACACTCTTTCGGCCACGTGGGACCGTGTGACATGATGTCATGTCACAGTCTTTTTTAAGCTGGTTTTCAAACATTTTAGGTAACTTATTTACGTGATGTATGCGCCATACTTAGGCATTGTTACAAAAGGCGTGGTCCCTGGAAAGAAGCTTCGGTTGATGGGCTATCGAGTTTTTCTAAAAATGTTTGAATAATGATCAAATCACAGGAATCGCTAAAATGGCCAAAATCGCATAATCGGAGACCTACCACACAACGCGCGGTCAAAATAATGCGCGCGGTCCCACACGCCAGACAGCGAAAAATAGCGCGGTCGTCAACGTGTTAACACACTTTCGTTATCAAAATTTAGACCACATGCTTCAGGATTTTGGTTGAAAATAATACTAACGAAGAGGGTAACGGATGAAAAAGTCCTACTGAATAGGATAGATAGGAATACTCACGCGAGCTCCAAGTACACTATTTTGAAACAAAAAATTCTGAATTACAGGTTGCAAGACTAGAATTAAATGCAAGTTGCCAGAGAAATCAATGTAAAGTTCTCGTCGTGAAACTAAAAAATTCACGCAAAAAATGCGACTTTGCGTTCTTTCGTTTCTTTTGCTATAACTCCACCCAAAGTTGAGTTTCTCGAAAGCTGTGATACCGTAGAACTCGGCTCGCCGACGTCTATGAAA